GGCAGGTCAGCTGGAGTTTCGCACCCGACGAGCTTGCTCTTTGAGGATCTGTCGTCCCAGGAGGTGCTCTCTGAGTTGGCCGACTGCAAGTCGACAAGCATTAGTAGGCAGCCTTTATTCGTTCCGTGGTCTGGCGTTTGGGATGTGTGGCAGCCTGTGGTCATGCGAGAGCATTGGCCCTGCATCATGTCAGGGGGTTGCTGAGACCGGCTTCGTGTGTGGCACGCTGTGTGTGCGTTGGCGGGGCTGCTTGGTCATCTCGCGCTAGCAGTGCAGCTGCGAGGCGACTGGTTGTATTGCAGCGCATCTCTCACGTGACGCGAGAAACACTTCAGCTGCTCGTTTCCGTGCATAGGTGTTGATTGGGGCGTGAGATGCCCTAGGGCATGCGGAGGATAGGGCTTGGCGAGCTACGGCAAAGCTGCTTCTGCAGCACCTCTACATCTGGCTTCCGGTATGTCATATACAGTGTGCTGCAGCGCATTTCATTGAGCCGAAATGCTAAAATTTCTGTCATACGGGATTGCCATTCTGGCAGTCCTTTCCGAATTGCTTCGGCTAGACGTAAACTAAACTCCTTCTGATAATAGTTTCAAAGCAAAAAAATGTGTTATTCGTTTTTTTTTTTGTACCAGGTTTGTAGTTTGTTTTCACACATTAGAATGACGCGTTGCACTCGCTCACACAGGCAGGAGGAATCGTTCAGTGGTGACATCTCCGCCTCCAATAACAGTCTTCCTTCCCCAGTTGTAGTTTGAATTACAAAGAGTAAATTTCAAACTTTTAAATATCCATTTCGGCGCATCGATGGGTATTGTTTCGTGCTAAAAAAAAATATTCGGTCCCACTAAATAGTCCGTTTCAGGTTCACTTTTTACGAAAATGAGGTATGTTTCGGCATATATGCTGGCGGCAATGGGTGCCAAGCACCATCACATAACAGCGCATGATATTGAAAGTATCCTCGGATCAGTGGGCGTCATATGCCAACGTGAAAAAGCCGAGGAAGTGGTCAAGAGAATGCACGGAAAAACGCTGGAGGAGTTGATAGAGGAAGGTGCAAAATATCTCTCCATGTCGGCCGTTCCTGCAACAGCAGCAATTGGTAATTCTTTCGTATGTCATTTTCTTGTTTCTGTTTTCTCAGTAGCAGAATCAAGAAGCTGATTGCGGTTGTCTGCTGCCGGTTTGGGTTTGCTGGGTACGACGTTTCAGCTGCATCTCACCATCATCATTT